TCTCGATGCCAAGAAAGCATTTTATAATCGTGCCAGGGATTTTACGTTTAAAGTCTTAGAGCATATGAGTTGTGGAGACACTTTTATAAAAGGAGTTAAGGCAATATATACAAAACAGTCAGCTAAGTTGATAGTAAATAGTGTCCTGACTGAGAACTGTAAAATAACTAAAGGAATGAGACAAGGCTGTCATTGTCACATTTGTTGTTTATAAGAGTTTAGAAGTACTTGGTGCAAAGAATAAGAAGTAATCAAGATATTAAAACATAAGATTGGGAAAGAGACAATATCAACTGAAAGCATTTGCAGACAATATGGTGATATCTGTAGAAAAACCAATACTGTATTTGCATTTCAAGAGAGATAAAGCAACTATCTCATGGCCAAAGGGCAGTGAATAGAGGAAGGTGCTTTGGAGGCAGATAGGGAAGATTTCAAGAGCATGGGTAGGCAAACTAAGGCCCGGGGGCCGGATCCGGCCCAATCACCTTTTATATCCAGCCTACGAACGGTCTGGGAATCAGCATGTTTTACATGAGTAGAATGATTGCTTTTATTTAAAAATGCATCTCTGGGTTATTTGTGGCTCAAAGGAAATTGTTCATCCCCCCCCCCAAAAAAAAATATAGTCCGGCCCCTGACAAGGCCTGAGGGACAGTGGACGGCCCCCTGCTGAAAAAGTTTGCTGACCCCTGTTCAAGAGCATTGCTGCACCGACATTGGGGACCCTTGCTGGGGTTACATAGGAAAGTGACAATAGATAGAAAAGCAAACAGAACATGTTTTGAACCTCTTTCAGGTGTTCAGCCCATTACCTGCCAAAGCAATTGATTCTGAAATTTGACTCCTCCCCTGATCATTACTGGTCTGTGTTTGCCTCGGGATGTAGACATGGCATGTAAAGCATGGGTCACAGCATAGACAGCATTGTAGATGTTGTAGCTGTGGCTGGTCATGCTCATTTCAAAGAAAGGACCAGGAAGATTCTCCAGCTTCTCTTGCCCAGTGCAAATATCTCCCCCTCACACTGCCAACCACTCGATTTGGAAATACGCAGCCAAATGCCTGTTGCCAGAAGTCCAAAATGAAGCCATCTCCTTTCGGGTTGGAAGGTGTTTTGCTCTTGACAAACTGACGAAATCCTGGTGGATCATTTGAGTGAGTTGTGAATGAGAGAACCCCATGCAGTATTTCTGTATCCCAAGTCCGTTGATAGACAAAAGAAGTGAGCTCTACCTGGGCTGTCATGATCCACACTTTACCTTTTGGCTTATTTGAACTTTGTTCCAGTTCTGATAGGTAAGGCAACCATCTAAAAAATGCCAGAGTATATGATTCTCCATAAAACAAGACTACATTGGCTTTGCTATCGTTTATTTTGTCATTAATTTTTGCCCCCAGTTTAAACATATTGTTAATTTCAGTGACGTAAGTTAATGTGTGACTTCTTTCTATGAAGGCAAAACAGATGCCACTCTGGGAAAATAGTGGAACCACAGTTTGCACAAATCTTTCTGCATTCTCATCATAGAAAGTAAAGATCCCAATCCATATCCACTGGAAATACAGAAGCAAATACAGGATCCCCTTATACTGGTGGGCTTCCTTGGGCACCATCTGGTAGAAGAAAAGGCCTGGGGTTTTATCATTCATCACTGGAGCAGGACCATATATGAGCTAAACGTAGTTGTTGGAGGAGGAGAAAGAGACAGAAGCAACAATAACTTTTAGGTATTAGATTTGTGTAATGCAAGCATCACTGGGGCAATCTCCAATTGGGCCTTCCAATCCTCACCATTTGGCCTGTGCATGCTATTTTTGCTAAGCCAAGCGATTCTCACCTGCCAATCAGCTGTTATCATATGTCAGGAACTGGCTAGGCCAAAAGGGACATCTGAAGCAATAACCTATGTGTTATCAAGGCTCTATCTCTTACCTTGGCTCTGTCATTAGCATGACATGCCTGATTATTTGAAATGTGCATATTGATTTATCAAAATCTATTTGGATATCTTAAGTTCCCATAACTTGACAAAAAGATGCATATCTCACCTGTGGAACCTTATAGATATCCAAGATTGTTGCCACATGAAGGGAAGTTTGGGAGTCCAGTCCCCCAATGATGGCTATCAAGTTTTTCTTGATGTCACAGATGTAGTTGGGGACAAATATTTCCAGTGTGGATATGAGTAACATTGTGGCATAAGAGGTCCATTTGGCATTGAAATAGCTGTCATAGATGCGGAAGCCTAAAGTGACATTGGGTAAGAGCTGAGGGTTTTCGTTGATCTCCTTCACTGCAAATTGCAAGGCCAGGATGTGCTGGTAATTCTTTGGCACCACACTAAAAAAAGAGTTTCATTTTCCATCAGAAGGGCATGTAACTCTTTGTAAATTTATCACAACTCAGTTCTACACTATCCTCATTAGCACTGCTTTCTTTCTTGGGAGACGCAGGGGTACACATACCCCCAAAACATTTTGTGAATCTAAGTTTGGTCTCATTGAGGGGCAGTATTTCAATATAAGTAGGAAAATGAGGGTACAACTAAACTTTTTTTTAGGAAAAAGCATTGCTCATTTGTATTTTTTATTACTGCAATTATTTAAATTATCTTGAACAGGTATCACTACAAGTGATCCTCCTCCTTGCCTACAATGGCAGAAAAGGCAGATAGGGGAAAATTCTATCGTAAGGGAGCACAGACTTTAAAATATTCCTGATATAAATTGTTAACGCTTCTATTATTATCAATGGACATTGTTGGCTGCAACTGTTGGAGTCAAACAACCACTTCAAGGCCACCGTTTAGCCACCCCACCTCTTAAACTGATTTGCTTCATTGTCCAAAGAAGGAATAAAAATGCAAAAGAGAAATTATCCAGGTCTTACTTTAGCTCTTCAAGCAATGTTGGTGGGGGTTTTTCAATGAAGGGTATTGAAATGGAGATGATGATGCTGTGAGAGGCAATGCCACCAATGATGAGGTCTCCTTTCGCATGATACTGATGAAGTGGAGTGTGTGGATCATGGACATGACATTTAACAATGGTTGATTTGCATATTGCATGAGGAAGTAGAATCAGCAGCAAGACCAATAATGCCACCATCCTTGGTACTATTTTTCCCTATGCACTAAGATGCCCCTAGTACTATTACAGCTTATGAGACTGAAGTAGTTTCACCTAGTTGACCTTTTAGTCTGCTCATATATCTGAAATCCAGACTGTGAAAACTGTGAGTGGGTGGGAATAGTGATGACACTGATGGATCCTTGCTTCTTTATGATTCTTAGGTCTAGCTGTGATTGCTGGAGGTGAGATATTTTTATCAGGCTTCTGCAACCTTATATCCTTCAGATATTTTAGACTGCAATTCACAGCATTCAAAGCTGACTGCATTTGATGGGTTTGTGATCCAAAACTGCCCAAGGGCACCAGGCTTTGAAAGGCTCAATTATAGTACCTTTCACAGACTTCCTCATTAGCTTTGATAGTGTACTGAGCAAGTCCATGAGTTGGTTAGACAAGTGGGGACTTTAATTACAGTTATTTTGATAATTAAAGGGAAGATAGTCAATTGTGCATCTTTCCTAACAGAAGTTTTCATATCCTCTTAGCTGCATAAGATTTTGGCTTACAATAATAAACAAGAAGGAAAAAATACTGGTAATACAACCCTTTGGTCTCAAGACAGGGAGGAAAGGAACATGTTTGACTGTAGCACTGGCCTCTGGAAATTCTGACCTGGAAAGAAGAAACCTAGGGAGAGCTGAGTTTCCCCCCTAATTACATTCCTTTCATAGTTCACATGCATGAACAACAATTGCATGAGTTAGTCTCCATGTCTTGCCAATGGATGGGAGAAAAGCATCACATTTTATGCTGGAGAAACTAAAATTAGGCATGGGTAATGTCTCCACCAACAGGGAAAGACATTTGTAATTCGTCGGCAGTGCTCAATATTACCTCGTTATTCCTGCATCTCACTTTCCTTATCTCATCTTGTCACATCTTTCCTTGCAAAAATTTAAACAGTTGTGCCAGAAATACGTTTTTATTTTTCCCTTTCCCTTTCTTTGTGCTTTACAAATGGGAATATAATTTAAGGGCAGGCAAACTTATTCTTGCACTCCACCCCAATCTCTAAGTGGTGTGAGATTGCTGGGGCTTCAGGCCCTGATCCAAACTTTGTCTTTTTATGCACAGCAGAGACGGTGACTTTTTAAGATACATGTTTTATTTATTTATTTATACATACATATGACCTGAGCCTATGATGGAGGGGTTCACAGCATTAACATCCCTAAAGGTGTAGCCTTGGATTTAAACAGACATCAAACACTGCTGTTTTAAGACAAAGTAAAATAAAGCTTACTGCAGTCTCAACTCAGAATCAGGCTTATAACCCAAGAGTTATAAGGAACTCACATGCAGCCTACATCTCCCCATCCCAGCCTGAATTCATAATAATATATAGATTGATATAATATTAAAAGATAAAATACACAATAGCAGAATTTGAGCTGCTCATGTATGATGAATGATTTTATACCATTAGAAGGAGTTATATTTAAAGGTAGCAAATCCCTGAATAAGTATGTTATTTCATTAGATGTATTATAAATGTGACCCCAACACTCTCCAAGAGAGATCCTACTTCCATGCATGAAGGTGTCAATGTGGAGTTCATTGGAGTCTCCTGACTTTCTGCATCAAACAGTGATAGATGCGCTGGACTCCTGTTTCCCTATCTCCAACTCACTTGAGGTGTTTCATTATAACAGGCTCCTCAGATCGTTCTCAGTTTTTCATTAATAATCCCTGCTCAGTTCCTTTTCTTTCTGTTCCAGCTTGATCAGCACATTTGACCAGTGGGTTTGGTTTCATACAATGACCGCCCCTCCCTAGATTCCTCGTTTAGACAATGTGACAATGCAATGGTTGGACACAAATTCCCGGCCTATACAATATAGAAAAGAGATACTCTCATGCATTCTTCAAGACTTCCTTCTAATTAAGAGATCCCTATTGTTCAGCTCAGGCTTCAGCAAAATAATGTAACATTTGGGGCAAAAGATGCAACCCAACAAACCAGCACTGGAGGCTAAGATAGAGAAGATCTCCACAGCCACCATGTATTTCCCCTTTGTGCTCATGTAGGTAGGAACAAAGGATAACCAAACACTGCAAAAGACCAACATGCTGAAAGTGATGAACTTGGCTTCGTTGAAACTGTCAGGTAATTTCCGGGCAAGGAAAGCCACAGTGAAACTGACCACAGCTAGGAAGCCCATGTAGCCCAAGACACAGTAAAAGAAGGTCATCGTCCCCTCATTGCACTCCAGTATAATTTCTTCAGCTACTGACTTCATGTCAGCATTAGGGAATGGAGGAGAGATCACCAGCCACAGAGTGCAGATGAGTGCTTGGAGTAGGGAGCAGGTAAGGACAATAGAGTTTGCCAGTCCTTTCCCCACCCACTTCCTCATCCTGGATCCTGGTTTTGTGGCCATGAAAGCCAGAACCACAGTGATGGTTTTTGCCAGCACACAAGAAACAGCCATGGAGAAGATGATGCCAAAAGCAGTTTGTCGGAGGAGACACGTCACCTTGTCAGGATATCCAATGAACAGTAATGCAGAAAGGAAGCAAAGCAAGAGGGAGATGAGCAGAGTGTAGGTGAGGTCCCGGTTGTTGGCTTTCACAACGGGAGTGTCCCTGTGCTTCACAAATATTTCAAGTACTAGTGCTGTAATGAAAGCAAAGGAAAGAGCAGAACAGGCTAAGCTGAGGCCGAGAGGTTCTTCAAAGGACAAGAAAGTTGCATGCTTCGGAATACATATAGTCTTATTTTTGCTTGGATACTTTTCAACTTCACACTCATAACAGTCATTCATGTCTGAGAAATAAAATATTTTGTATTAACCTCAATGTATTAATCTCACCAACACACTAACTCTTGTTTCCTTCTTTCTTTTTCTTATTAAATTTTATAAACAAATAATAAAAAACCGTTTCATGACTACATAATTAGGATTCGGGGGGGGGGGACATCAGGAAAAGAAAAATGTAAAGATGGTAAATGATGGCGCTCATACTGCTCAGACAGCCAATCAGCAGCAGGAAATGTAGCAGGGTTGGAAACCCTTCCTGATCGACTTCACATAAATCAGGAAGTAGCCAGGTTTTTACAGTCGATATTCTGTAGCTTAATGTTTTAAAATCTACATCTAAATATGTTTCATGGGGAAAATGTACATTTGAATAGGACTTTGATGAGCAATGATACAGTTAAATGCATATTGAGAGAATATGCAGATTTACATTTTTAAAACAGGATTTTTTTTTTAAATAATGCAAGTTAATGAAATGAAACTGTGTGCAAAAATATGTTAGGTTAACCATTAAGTCCATTGCTACCCAAATCTTTCTACCTTGCTTCAAAAACTAAGAAAAGAAAGCTTAGTGAATATATGTTTTTTGTCAAAGATGATTCTGGCCTCCAGCCAGTTTTATAGGTTTAATTAGTTCCATTTTTCTATTTACACACAGAGCTCTCAGAGCACGTCCGGCTCATTCGGATTAGTTGCAGCAACTGGCTGCTGCTTTCGTTTTCTCCAGCATAACCACTTCCAGAGCCCTCCCCTTTTCCTTCCTCTGTTACGTGAAGGGCTAAGCCCTGGAAATTGCTCCCCCCTCTCTGATTCATTGCTTCCTGACAACCCTTCGTCCTCCCCCTCCTCTGAAGAGGTACAACTACTTACGGTCGGAGGCTTATCTCTGTATTTCCCCATCATTTCCCCCTTCTCAGCTCCCAATTCCCTGACAGGTTTTATACATATGTTGCTCTCAGTTTCAGGGAACCAGATATAAATCTGTACCATATATTTCTTACCCTCCTCGCCTGAAATCTTCCCTTTTGGACAAGGTGTGCAGTCATAGCAGCAAAATGGCTCTCCTTGTTTCACTTTCTTGCTAGAACCACGAAGGCAACTATCGGTACATACAGAGTTAGGCTGTGTCTAATTTGAAGTGAAAGAGGAAAATATATATAATTCTCAGAATAATACAGAATAATAAAGGAATAACAAAACTCAGTGCTCTTAGTAGGTTTTGTGTTTTACTACATTTAAAAAACCCCTCAGATTACCTGTTTCTTAAGCATTCTTTCTGATTTGCTTATACGGTGATTGTCTTCCCATTATTCAGTTAGTCCACTTTCCCACGCACTTCTCCATCCCTTTCCCAAGAACTACCGTATTTTTCGCCCCATAAGACGCACTTTTTCCCCTCCAAAAATGAAGGGGAAATCGGGGTGCGTCTTATGGGGCGAATGCCTGCAAGCCTCGCGCGCCCGGCAGGAGGTCCCACCGGGTGCGCGAGGCTTGGGGCGGCAGCCTGTCGCCCGAAGCACGGGGAGCCCTCTGGAGGGCTCCCCCTGCTTCGGGCGAGTGTCTGCAAGCCTCGCGCACCCGCAGGAGGTCCCACCGGGTGCGCGAGGCTTGGGGCGGCAGCGGACTGCTTGCGCGCACCTAGAAGCTTGGGGCCAGCTGAGCTCAGCCCGCCCCAAGCTTCTCGGTGCGCGCAAGCAGTCCGCTGCCGCCCCAAGCCTCGCGCACCCGGTGGGACCTCCTGCCGGGTGCGCGAGGCTTGGGGCGGCAGCGGACTGCTTGCGCGCACCTAGAAGCTTGGGGCGGGCTGAGCTCAGCTGGCCCCAAGCTTCTCGGTGCGCGCAAGCAGTCCGCTGCCGCCCCAAGCCTCCCGCACCCGGCAGGAGGTCCCACCGGGTGCGCGAGGCTTGGGGCGGCAGCGGACTGCTTGCGCGCACCTAGAAGCTTGGGGCGGGCTGAGCTCAGCTGGCCCCAAGCTTCTCGGTGCGCGCAAGCAGTCCGCTGCCGCCCCAAGCCTTGCGCACCCAGCGGGACCTCCTGCCGGGTGCGGGAGGCTTGGGGCGGCAGCGGACTGCTTGCCGGCACGCAGAAGCTTGGGGCGCGCTGACCTCAGCTTGCCCCAAGCTTCTGGATTAGCGCAGCGCACCTGGGGGGGAAATAAATTTTTTTCCTTTATTTCCCCCCCTAAAATCTAGGTGCGTCTTATGGGCCGGTGCGTCTTATGGGGCGAAAAATACGGTAAAAGTTATTTTGTATAAGTGGGTTTGTTCTTCTAGGCTGATAGGGACAATCTAATAGTGCAAACCTGAAATTACTGGTATATGCTTGACTCAGTATCACAAAATAGGTAAAGGTAAAATGGTAAAGGACCCCTGGACAGTTAAGTCCAGTCAATGGCGACTATGGGGTTTGTCCAGAGACAGCTTTCAGAGTCATGTGGCCAGCATGACAAACTGCTTCTGGTGCAACAGAACACCGTGACAGAAACCAGAGTGCACAGAAATGCCATTTACCTTCCTGCCTCAGCAGTATCTATTTATCTACTAGCACTGGCATACTTTCGAACTGCTAGGTTGGCAGAAGCTGGGACATAACAATGGGAGCTCACCCCGTCATGGGAATTTGAAGCGCTGACCTTCTGATCGGTAAGCCCAAGAGGCTCAGTAGTTTAGACCACAGTGCCACCTGCAAATATTGAAAGTCTGAAGGCACCCCAAATCTCTGTTGAGGAGTTGTGGGTGACTTCATGCAGTTTATGTTCTAGTTCTATCTAGAGATATATCAGTAAGAGGTAATAGGACTTATTGTGGCAAGAGGTAATAGGACTTATTGTAGCATCTAACAATAATTTATGTGTTGTGCTATTTTCTGTCCTAACTGTGATTTTAATAAGGGCTGTACGATGCTCACCATAATTAACTTCATATGTTATACACATTCAAAATTGGAATCTTCACAAATAGCTGACAGTTACATCCTACCTGGTTAAACCAGTTATGCCACGTTATGGCATCCTCGTTGATAGTGAAAGCTTGGTCTGGAGGAGCCTGGGGGTCCATCTTCCCAACTTTCACTCTTTTAAAGGATTGGTTTGAAAAAACAATCCAGTTGTTGACATCAAATCCGGCTACTATCTCCCCAGTCTGGTCAAAGGAAACCGTGTCCCCAGCACTATTGTTAAACGAGATACCCCTCAGAAAATGGTGGAGCTATATTGAAAAGAAAATGGCAAGAATTTAATCAAGGCTGAAATTCAGGAAGGGATAATGAGGTCTTGCATCTTTCAGGTTGAACTCTTTAAGTATCCATTCTGGATGGAAGCAACTTTCTTCTCATCTTTTGAAGTTTATTTTCAATTACAGATTTTCAAGAATTGTAGCAGTCTGTTTCAGAAATTAACAGACAACCATAAACATTGGAAAGTTAATGAAAGTGATGGCTCTGTGGATTTCATGGTGTGTGTGTGTGTGTGTGTGTGTGTGTGTAGTGGGTTTCTGTATCATTCCTTCTATATGCCAAGTTCAGAGATAAATTTGATTCTGTCTGTAACCAAAACAACATCACCCACATGTAAGAGGTAGGTATGAACAGGCTTGGGGGAACTTCAAAGTTGACAGAGGTACAAAGTAAGGCTTTGGGGAAAGAAACCCTGAGGAGGGCACAAGCCTCCAAACATCCCAATGAGGACTGAGAGCATTTAGGAGCCTCAGAATGCTGAGAGACTCTCTGTTAGGGAGGAGTACAGAGAAGGTACACACACAAAGAGGAGAATGTTATACAGGATCTGCAAGGAATAACACATTTCAAACTTTTCTTAGAATTCCAAGGAGTAGGTATGCAGGAGAAAAACAATTTTGTCTGCATTTTAATACTCAGTTCCGACTTTTGGAACAAATATGTGAACTGAAATACAATTATGCTTTCAAATTCATATGTCTCTGAACTTTGCAGTGCAGTTCTCAAATCAAACAATGTGTATAGAAGTGCATATATTAGGTGGAAGTATCCATAATATATATATATCTGTGAAAGGAACTTATATTATATATATGGTAGACTGCTTGGAAAAAAATTGCTTATTTGTCAAAGCTGTTTTTAAAAAACGCATAACGATTTTGCAATATATATATATTATAAGAGTTAATAATTACAATTCTATACATACTTATCTAATACATGGGTATTATTATTATCCAAATACATATATGTTTATTTTTAACCTACTATATTTTGTACAAATATGTTCCAAATATCATTATATTTGTCCATGCCTTTGCCTTTAAGTAATCTGTTGTAAATGTAGTCATATCTTCAATCCATTGGTTAAAAAGAGCCAGACATTTATCTTTCCACTGCATCAATGTCAGTAAGGACACAAAGAATCTATTTATGTTGCCCAGTTGTCAAATTCCATATGAAGAATATGTAATTCAAAAGAACATTTTCCTCTGAAAATTTTAAATTTTCCTTCACAGTCATATTTATATAATCCACTACTTTCTGCCAAAACTTAATAAGTGTAGGACATTGTAAAAACATGTGCTTAAAAAAAGAATTATCCTTAGTACATCTCCAACAACATGAAGTCTTAAATGGAGTTAAGTGGAGATGTTCGGCTCATTACCTGCCACAAATGTTGATGCTGAAGCTTCAGTCCTCCACTGGTTACCATTTGTCTATGTTTGACTCGGGATGTAGACATGGCATGCAAAGCTTGAGCCACAACATAGGCAGCATTGTAGATGTTGTAGCTGTGGCTGGTCATGCTCATTTCAAAGAAAGGACCAGGAAGGTTCTCCAGCTTCTCTTCCCCAGTGCAGTTATCTCCCTCCACATTGCCAGCAATGTGATTTCTGAATATGCAACCGAATGCGTGCTGCCAGAACTCCACAATAAAGCCATCTCCTTTTGGGCTGGAAGGATTTTTGCTATCAACAAATTGGTGAAATCCTGGTGGATCATTAGAATGAGTTGTGAATGAGAGAGCCCCATGGAGTATTTCTGTATCCCAAGTCCTTTGATAGGGAAATGAAGTGAGCTCCATCTGGGCAGTCATAATCCACACCTTACCCTTTGGCTGACTTGGCATTTGTTCTCCTTCTGATAGGTATGGCAACCATCTGAAAAATGTCATAGCATACGATTCCCCATGGACAACAACTGCATTTGCTTTGCTATTCATTATATTATCATGAATTTTTGCCCCCTTGTTAAACAAATCATTAAATTCTGAGACAAAACTGATTTTCTGAGTTCTCTCTGTGAAGGCAAAACAGATACCCCTCTGGGAGAAAAGCGGAACCACACTTTGTATAAATCTATCTCCATATTCATCATTGAAGGTAAGGGTCCCAATCCATGTCCACCTGAAATGTAGAAGGAAGTAGAGAATCCCCTGATATTGAAGGTCTTCCTTGGGGACCATCTGGTAGAATGAAAATCCTGGGGTTTTATCATTCCTCAGTGGTGCAGAGCCATATACGAACTAAAGAGAAATGTGGGGATGGAAGAAAGTGGCATACACAATAGCCATTTAAATGGACCAGTTTTAACTACTTAGTGCACTTGAAACATGTTATATCAGCAGTCCTTACAACAATGCTATGATGTATATAACTGCTAGGTTTGCATGGAATGGACAGAGGGAACAATGACATTTTTAAAGAACTTCTAATAGAGTCATTGTTTAGGAGAGAACTGCAACCACACAGGACACCATTTGGCTCAAAATGCCCCATCTTTAGAGCCTTAACTATAAGAAGATAATGCATATATATCTTGCAGCAGTGGCAAAAGTTATCAGAAGATGAGAATTCCCTGAATTCTCTCATATTTTATCCAAATCCTACAACTGTTTAATTGTTGTTGGAATGACAGAGGTTATTCTTCAGGGGTAGGCAGCAATTTTCTATAGCTCCACCACATTCAAAATGCCTCAAATGAAGTTCTTTGTTTTGCTGTTGTGCCTACCAGTGTGGTGTAGTGGTTAAGAGCGGTAGTCTCGTAATCTGGGGAACCGGGTTCGCGTCTCCGCTCCTCCACATGCAGCTGCTGGGTGACCTTGGGCCAGTAACACTTCTTTGAAGTCTCTCAGCCCCACTCACCTCACAGAGTGTTTGTTGTGGGGGAGGAAGGGAAAGGAGAATGTTGGCCGCTTTGAGACTCCTTAAAGGGAGTGAAAGGCGGGATTTCAAATCAAAACTCTTCTTCTTCTTCTTCTTCTTCTTCTTCTTCTTCTTCTTCTTCTTCTTCTTCTTCTTCTTCTTCTTCTTCTTCTTCTTCCATTTCTCCCTCACCCTCCATGTTTACATGTGTTCAGGTGAAAGTATTGTTAACCCCCCCCATGTTTGCGTGGTGTGAGATTCGAAGGGTCCACATGATTACCTGGGGTTTGTGTTTGCTTTTGGAATGTAGTGGACACTGTGATGTTTTATATGGTTTATATATGCATATATACAATCTGAGCCTATGATGAAGGGGTCTATAGCACTACACTCCAAGAGGGTCTCCTGCTTCTCCCATAGGTGCAGCAGTCTTGGATCCAAAACAGCAAGCAACCATGCTCTCTGACTACTTTCTGCAGCGTGTCACAGCTTTGTTAGGTCACAACACTACCAATCACAATACCAAAAAATACCACTGGCCTTTTATCTTAGGGAGGGGTTTCATTCAATTTTGCTGACAGACACAGAATCCCCTGATGGCCCATCTGCCTACCTTTTGTTAGGTTAATGACTCAGCTATTATCAGATGACTACCTCATGCGGAAGATGGCCTGTGTTATTTCCAACACTTACTGGATCCAGGGAGTTAAGAGTTTGCTTAATTTCTAACCCTTTACTGAATTCAGAGATTTAAGGGAGTCTAGACACTACCACCCCAAACTCATAACAGTATGAAGTGAGACGGACCACACCTTACGTGTTCATTAATGAATTATTTCTGAGACTGAGATATGTCCCTCTGGTTACTTGGAATGTACACATTTGTTTCTCCAAACTACATAATTCAACATTGATATGGTAAATTTCCATACAGTACAGAGAGTGAGAAATACCCTACCTGTGGAACCTTATAGATATCCAAGACTGTTGCCACTTGAAGAGAAGTCTGGATGTCCAGTCCCCCAATGATGGCTAAAAGGTTTTTCTTGATGTCACAGATATAGTTAGGGACAAATGTTTCCAGTGTGGATATGAGTAACATTGTGGCATGAGAGGTCCATTTGGCATTGAAATAGCTGTCATAGATGCGGAAACCTAAAGTGACATTGGGTAAGAGCTGAGGGTTTTCGTTGATCTCCTTTGCTGCAAATTCCAAAGCCAGGATGTGCTGGTAATTCTTAGGCACCGCACTAGGAAGAAAGTTGCATTTTGTATCAGAAGGATATGTCCCACTACCTAAATCTTTCACAACTATGTTCTATATCATCCTCTTCATTATAGTATTTATATAAGAATATATGCTTAAGGCAATCCTTTTCGTCAACACAAAGATTAAATAGGTGAAAAACAGACACATCTTATACTTTCTTGGTAAGGTAATTATTTACAGTTGGTTTTACTAAAAGAAGCTATATGATTTGAAATCCTTGGGAGATGCTATTTAACACAGAGAGACATATAAATTTATATGCATAAAATTATTATTCCACACTATAAATTACCAATAAATTACCAATATACCACAATTACCACTATAAATTACCAATAAAAAGACTCTTAAAAGATTAATGATTAATGAAGACATTATTTATTTAACAAAGTTGTAGAAGATAATGAAATCAGAGGAATGGCATGACAGAGGGTCCCAAGATAAGGTACAATATGGAGAAAGAGGACAGACCTATTTTCTCCCAGTCTTGTAATACCACATCAAGGGTCAAGCCAATGGAGCTGAAAACCGGAACATTCAGGGGGGTAGGAATGTTGTACTACATCATAAAGCTCACATTATAACTATGTGTCATGGGATATAGTCATAGTCAAAAACTTAGTTTATATTAGACAAACCCATGAAGGATAAGGGCATTTTTGAGTACTAGATGCAATGTGATGGACCAGCCCTCCAAATATCTGCTTGGAATTTCCTCAAAAGGAATCTGAGTCCTCTTATGTGCTCTACTTAAAAAATAAAGGGAGAAAAAACCAAGGAGACAACCAATCCAATTTGAGGGGTCTGGAAAATTATTTGCAGATGGCAGCACAACTTTGCAGGTATCGCTACAAGTGATCATCCCACTTATTTACCATAGTATAAAAGGGAGAAAAGAAGGAATCAAAATGCAATGTGAAAATATTAAATCCTTACTTAAGGTCTTCAATTAAGATTGGTGGGGGTTCTTGGGTGAAGGCTATTGAATTGTAGTTGAGGATGCCATGAGATGCAATAGCCCCAATGATGAGATTACCTTCCTGGTGATACAGGTGCGATGGAGTGTGTGGATTGTGGATATGGCATTTAGCAATGTGAGTCTTGCATACTACACAAGGAAGCAGCATCAATTTCAAGACCAGTAACACCACCATCTTGACGATTACCATCACACCAAAATCCCCCTATTTCTAACCATAGCAGTATCATTAGAGCCTCTAAGAAAAAAAACTGCCAGAACAAATATGCCATTTAGTCTGCCAATATGTGTGAATCCCAGAGTTATTATTATTTTTTAATCCTGATCATACTAGTGAATCCTTGCTGGCTTTTAGTCCCTAACACCAGTTGTTATTGCATATTTATACCAGCCTTCTCATAACACTCTCCAGATGTTTTGTACTTTAATTTCCACCATCCCTTATTGACTAGCGATGGATGTAGTCCAGAATATTTGGAGGGCACCACATCTGGGTGTCAGGAGTCAGAAACAAACGTGAGTCAAGCAATAAAGAACAGTGTCAGAGAAGTTAACTCTTAATTCAAAGAAACAAAAAGAAGCACAGGCCTAGTGATCACTGCAACTCTTCCCAGCAGGTCTTGCCCCAATGTGGCAGGGACCAAAGAAGAAGAAGAAGAGTTTGGATTTGATATCCCGCTTTATCACTACCCGAAGGAGTCTCAAAGCGGCTAACATTCTCCTTTCCCTTCCTCCCCCACAACAAACACTCTGTGAGGTGAGTGGGGCTGAGAGACTTCAAATAAGTATGACTAGCCCAAGGTTAGCCAGCAGCTGCATGTGGAGGAGTGGAGACGCGAACCCGGTTCACCAGATTACGAGTCTACTGCTCTTAACCACTACACCACACAAAGGTTCCTGCCTTCCCACAACTGCCCAAATCCCCTCCTCTCCAGGGTTTCTTTCCCTGAGTCTGGACTGCTCTTTGCCTCAGCCTCTTCCAGCTCACAAAACCCTGTTACCTCTTCAGCTTCTGACACCTCCTTCCCCCAGTCTTCCCCTCATCTCCCTCTGACCACTCATCACTGCCCCACCACCAATTCCCTGGCCCCAAGCCTTCCCAGCTAGTGATTCCCAGTTAGTGCCTCCCACTGCTCCTCTGCATCTAGCCAGTCCCTGGCAATGGGGAACTCTCATTTATACTATCATTGACAGACTGTCTCATTAGATTTGGTAGGGTCTAATGCAAGTTCTTAGGGAGTGAGGAATGAGGAGTGTGATAAGTGGAAGTGTTAGTTACTGTCTTTTTGATAATTACAGGGGAGATAATAATCAGCTGAAATCCGGCAATTCTCTGTGGAATTGCAAAACTAAGCTAAACTAAATTAAACTTTAACAGAAGTTTTCATTTCCACTTACAGGGGCACCAGCTCCTGGGGGCTGAGCCCTTCCACTCCCATTTTTGGGGGCTGCTCCCCCAATGTCCAAAAAGCATGGAGGTGAAGCAGTGGCCAGTTCCTGCTCTTCCTGCTGCTGCTGTGGAGGGGAAGAAGGGTCAAAGCAGCCTCCCACCAGTGGCAGCTACAGAAGGAAGAGGAGGAGCTGCTGCCCATTGAAGCTCTGTATGCACAATGTTGGCTCCATTAATTGCCCTTGCAAGCTGGTGCCTCTGTCCGATTACTTGGATGAGAGCTCGGCATTTGGGCTTACAACTATGAAAAACAAAGAAAAGATACTAGACATTTCCATTGAACCATTTTCCTTCATTTGGGGCCAGTCTAATTTGAATATTTTCAGTTCTGGGAACTCAACTTGCTTTTGTTAACTTTCTGAACTGGTCAATTGATTTTGCACATATAACTTTTTTTGGGGGGGGAGACACTTGATTCTACTCATAGCAGCTGAAAGAATTTCTACATGCTCTTTCTTAGGGCAGAATACCCACAGGAAGAATATTATATTTTCAGACATCCCATAATGCATTTGGCCCAGGAAATACAGGGAGCAGGATATGGTGAACATTGTGACTTGTGCTGCAAGCCTATTTTTTTCCTGCAGAAAAAGAAGAAAAAACACCTCTGCAAATTGATCAAAAGTAAGCAAAGGCAAAGCTCTGCCTTGGCTGATGATTTGGGGCTGGATGAATGGCAGGTGAAAACCAATATTGATTCCCAAGGGCAGTGGGTTAATTCACAGCTGTCCAGAAGCGTCAGTCCAATTGCATCATTGTAATCTATGAGATAACTTTCAGAAAACAGACTTTAAAAGGGGGCTTCCCAGGGAAGGCTGCAGATACTGAGCTAATGATATATTTTTAAACTTTTTATTTAATGAAATGTATACACTGATCCAGAAAGGTTCTTTTTGTATCCACAACAAAGCAATGCAATTGCAATTTATTCCTTATAACCACATATATCCATTTACAACCCTCATTATAAGTAAGTGGAATACAAGAAATATTAAAATTATGAATAAAAACACTTAAAGACAAGTAATTAAAGACATTTTGAAAAATAATTAAAATAAGCTGTAAAGCATCAACATCTCCATGTCTGTATGGGCTTGCCAAAACAAAAAGTTTCTAAGCAAGTGCTGAAAATCAAACAATGAAGGCACCTGCCTGATGTTAGTAGGCAGCGAGTTCCAGAATATAGCTGCTGCCACACTAAAAAGACTATTTCTCAAAAGCACAGAATGGGTATTGTGTAGCATCTGCAACAGTGTCAGGCAAGGATTTCAAATTGGTTGCATTAATCAGCTGCCACTTCCTTTACTCTCCTTTGCCTTCCCTGCATGTTCATGTCAAAGGGATTTCTGAATATTCGATTTCCAGGTGTCAATGTGGATTCATGGTTCTAAATCAGATCAGGGACAAACCGATTCTGTCTGAGAGAGGGGTGAATCACCGAATCAGGCTCTAAATTGAATGGTGGGAGTGGAGCCTGCACATATCTTGTGAAAATACCTTTTTTCTGATCAATCCAGATTGAGAATTTAAGACCACTTATGGATTACCTTGTAATATATTGACAATAATTGCTCTCAGGACTCAACTATACAGCCGGAAATAAAATGTTTCAAGTGTGTTATAAAGTGCATTATACAAATGCGAAATTGATGGCGATGGTGAGCTATGGCAATACATGTTTCAAAACATTTTTTGGGGGGAAAAAGGATTCTCATGTATTTTATGTGTGTCTAGATTCCACCCCAGTCTTCTTGACAATACATACTACAAGAGAATAACGTATGTGTATATGTATTATTGTTTCCCTCAAAGCAAAGCACAGTGGTACCTCCGGTTACAGATGCTTCAGGTTACAGACTCCGCTAACCCAGAAATAGTATCTCGGTTTAAGAAATTTGCTTCAGAATGAAAACAAAAATTGTGCCGTGGCAGCGCAGAGGCAGCGGGAGGCCCCATTAGCTAAAGTGATCTTCAGGTTAAGAACAGTTTCAGGTTAAAAACGGACCTCCAGAACGAATTAAGTTCTTAACCTGAGGTACCACTGTAAGTCGATTTTACAAATGAATTTTCAACTATGGGAATTTTGACTCTAGAAAAAATTATATAAGGCAGCAGCTGAACATATATTTCCAGGTGTTCTACTGTACACACAGAAAAAAAGCATGAAAGACAACAAATGGCAGGTTTATTATTTCTTTACATTTTCTTCCTTATTAGCTGTTCTCTGTTGTTCAGCTCAGGCCTCAGAATGATTATATAACATTTGAGGGAAAAGATGCAAGCCAGCAACCCACCACCGGAGGCTAAGATGGAGAAGATCTCCACTGCCACCATATATTTCCCCTTGGTGCTCAGGTAGGAGGGAATAAAGGACAGCCAAACACTGCAGAAGACCAACATGCTGAATGTGATAAACTTGGCTTCGTTAAAACTGTCTGGTAACTTCCTGGCGAGGAAAGCCACAGCAAAACATACAGTGGCCAGGCAGCCCATGTAGATGAGGACACAGTAAAACATTGTTACAGACCCTTCATTACATTCTAGTATAATTTCTTCCATCACAGAGTGCATGTCCACATCAGGGTATGGGGGAGAGGTTGCCAGCCACACAGTGCATATGCCTGCTTGAACTATGGAGCAGAAAAGGAGAATGGAGTGGCCTAGTCCTTTCCCCACCCATTTCCTCATCCTGGATTCTGGTTTTGTAGCCATGAAGGCCAAAACCACTGTGAAGGTTTTTGCCAGGACAGAAGAAACAGCAGTTGAGAAGATGATGCCAAAAGCTGTTTGTCGGAGGAGGCATGTCACCTTCTCAGGTCGGCCAATGAAGAGCAATGCACAAAGGAAGCAGAGCAGGAGAGAGATGAGGAGAGTGTAGGTGAGGTTTCGGTTGTTTGCAATGACAATGGGTGTGTCATGGTGCTTCATAAATATACCTAGTACCAGAGCTGTGATCAAGGAAAGGAAAAGAGAAAATGAGACTAAACTGATGCCCAAAGGTTCTTCATAAGACAAGAAGCTTATGTCCTTGGGTAGACATGCATCACGGTTCTTGCTTGGATAGTCCTTTGTCAGGGCACTTATGACAGTCATTCATATCTGGAAAAATGTAAAGAAATGAGCTCATATCATATCAGCTTACTGAAATGTTTCATTTCTGTCTGAGAAGGAAAGAGCTGTGTTTAAATCAAAACACATGTTTAGTACTATCTGATGCTCTGCAATGCGGTAATGTTGAATTTAGTTGGTTCAGAGCTATGTCATCCTGTAATATCCAGGGCCAATATTTATACACATTAGCCTGGGTGCAGCCTGTGTAAGTCAGAAGAAGTGGTAAGACCCCCTCTAGATATGATTTGATCCACATACCATCCAACTACTCTTAATGCATTGGCATTATCATTTGATTAGCAAATTTAGACAATCTTAAAGGCAAAGAAGCAGGCTCTATTTAATCTATGTATTTCTCCTACCATCCTGGTTTGCAATCTTCCCCTCTGCACATGGGATGCAATCGTAGCAGCAAGGTGGCTGTCCCTCCTTCACTTTCTTGCTGGATCCTGGAAGACATCTCTTAGTACAGACAGAAAGAGGCTGAGTCTATTCCATAAATGAAAGAGCAGAATGCAGAAGAGTTCCAAATAAGGGATTTTTGAGGAATGCAGTCTTGGTGAATACCAAAACAACCAAAATTCCAGACAAATACATAAATTTTAATGAAGCTA